CCGATCGCGCCAGCCAAATTGCGCCACGGAGACAGTCGTGCTCCACTCTCACCACCATCAGAACATATCTTCAAAGCTATCAGCGCCAAAGAAAAAAGCCACACCACTCCGGGAGGGCTCGAATCTCCAACCTTTCGGTCAATTGGAGATCGCGCTAGCCAATTGCGCCACGGAGACAGTCGTGCTCTACTCTCACACCATCAGAACATATCTTCAAAGCTACAGCGCAAAGAAAAAAAGCAACACACCACTCCGGGAGGGCTCGAACCTCCAACCTTTCGGTTAGCAGCCGATCACGCTAGCCAATGGCGCCACGGACACAGTCGTGCTCCACTCTCACCACCGTCAGAACATTTCTTCAGAGCTATCAGCCCAAAGAAAAAGAAGCGCCGCACCACCACCGGGTGGGCGCGAACCTCCAACCATTCGGTCAACAGCAGGTCGCGCTAGCCAATTGCGCCACGGAGACAGTCCTCCTCCACTCTCACACCATCAGAACATATCATCAAAGCTATCAGCCCAAAGAAAAAAAAAGCGCCGCACCACCACCGGGTGGGCTCGAACCTCCAACCTTTCAGTTAACAGCCCATCGCGCTAGACAATATCGCCACGGAGACGGTCGTGCTCCGCTCTCACCACCATCAGAACATATCTTCAAAGCTATCAGCGCAAAGAAAAAAGCAACACACCACTTCCGGGAGGGCTCAAACCTCCAATTTTTCGGTTAACAGCCGAACGTGCTAGCCAATTGCGCTACGGAGACAGTCGTGCTCCACTCTCACCACCATCAGAGCATATCTTAAAAGCTATCAGTGCAACGAAAAAAGCAACACACAACTCCCGGGAGGGCTCGAACCTTCAACCTTTCGGTTAACAGCTGATCGTGCTAACCAATTGCGCCACGGAGACAGTCGTGCTCCTCTCTCACCACCATCAGAACATTTCTTCAGAGCTATCAGCCCAACGAAAAAGAAGCGCCGCACCACCACCGGGTGGGCTCGAACCACCAACCTTTTGGTCAACTGCAGATCGCGCTAGCCAATTTCGCCACGGAGACAGTCCTCCTCCACTCTCACCACCATCAGAACATATCTTCAAAGCTATCAGCCCAAAGAAAAAAAAAGCAACACACCACTCGCGGGAGGGCTCGAACCTCCAACCTTTAGGTTAACAGCCGATCGCGCTAGCCAACTGCGCCACGGAGACTTTTTTTTTCTTTCTTTATTGCCTGTTTACATACAACATTCACACACATATATACATCAAACAAAGTAGAAACATGAAATAAAAAAGGGGTAAAAAGCATCATATTTAACAGGCTTTTTTTAAAATTCCTTCATCTGTAGAAGGCTTTCTACTTGATGAAGCCATTCGGGCACCTCTTGTTGAACCTTTTGTGCTTCCACGAACGAACAGACAGATTGAAAGAAATATTGCCTGACCGGACGTGCATTAACATCAGCATGGCGCACCGCCATTCTAGATTGCCATATACCGTGCAGGCCCAGTAACATAACTAGGTCGAAAGGTATTCCTTCTTCATTTGATACTGGTAGAAATCTGATGCCATAGGCATCGAGAGGCAGATCCTTTTTCAAAGTCCTTTGAAGAACATCCCAGAAAAAGACTGCATCCCAGCAGTCCAGGAAAACATGTTCAATTGTTTCCGGCTTTTTGCAGAGAAGGCAATCAACACCCCAGGGAACGAATAAGCCTTTTTCTTGCATCCATGTTTTCACGGGCAAGGTCCCAGTGTGCAACTTAAAGAAAAAGGATTTCGCTCCAGGTGTTACCTCCATTTTTTTAACACGGCTTAAGACATTTTGGCCTGGGCCTACACGGTATAATGCTCTATATAGGGGAACAGGAAGAACTGTTTCTACTAAATCTTTGTATAACTTTTTACGCGAAACCGTACTGAGGTATTCCAATGAAAAACGCGTTTTTAGAAAGAGACATGAATCAACAACTTCTTTTAAGAAACCTCTAACACTTGTTTCCATGTGAACAGATGCTACCACAAATTCTGGCAGCCGTCTTCCAAGCCTAAGCTGTATAACAGTACGTATGAATGGGTCTCGATTATTTCGGAAAAACATAAACCGATTAACTAACTGACGAAGGTACAAATGACACAGACCAAGTCCTCCAGAGCGAACCCGTCTGAATAAGTTAGTTCTACTAGTTCGCTCCCAAGAAGAACCCCACAAGAAAACAGCAAATATTCGATGAAGCTTCTGTAGATTCACACGTGAACAATGCATTACCTGAAGGACATACCAGAGCTTACTGACTAAAAATACGTTACAAAATGTCGCTCTGGCGAAAATTGATAGCTGGAAACCATTGAGTTTTTCAGCTTTTTCTCGTAGCTCCACAGCCTGACGCCGCCAGTACGGTTCACTGTCACAATAATATTCTAATGGCACACCTAGGTATCGTACCGGAGTAGTAGTCCATGAAATACCAGCCACAAATTGTGGAGTCACAGGCCATTCGCCGTGCCAGTAACCCAGGCACTTGCTCCAGTTTACCAAACTACCACTTGCATTACAATAAAGGTTCACAATTTTTATGGTTTCAGCGATACTATCATAATCTTTACAAAACACAGCTATATCATCTGCGTATGCCAGTACCCGTACTTCAGCTTCTTGTAGTTTGTACCCCACTATGTTATTGCTTTTCATGACTTTTTGGCAAAATGACTCTATATAAATTGAAAATAGGAGGGAAGACAAAGGGCAGCCTTGTCGTACAGAACGTCTGACATTAATTCGTTTCCCAAGAACTTTGTTGATGATTAGCCGAGTTTTACATCCAGTATATGCCATTCGAACTGTATCTCGAATTACTTTGCCAACATTGACATAGTCTAACAAAAGAAAAAGTATTTCGTGCGGTACTCGGTCAAATGCTTTTTCTAAATCTATCTGGATCATCGCGATGTGATCATTTGTGGCATCGCAGCACTCCAATACACTTCGTGCCTTGTGAATGTTTGTGAATATAGTGCGCCGTTTGATCCCACTTGTCTGGTGGTCGCCTACAATGTTATTAATAACTGTCTGCAGTCTCCTTGCTAGCACTTTCATCAAAATCTTGTAGTCGATATTTGAGAGACTAATTGGCCTGTACGATTTCACTTCACGTAATTTAACTGCGTCCTCAGTTTTTGGTATTAAAATAGTATGAGATAGCAGAAAAGAAGGTGGCAAAGTCTTTATGTCTAAGGCTTCGTTAAAAACCGCTGCCAGGATCGGTGCTAGTTCGTGTTTGAATTCCTTATAAAATGCGGCTGTTAAGCCATCAGGTCCTGGGGACTTTCCCAAATGGAGGGCAATGATTGCTTTTGTCACTTCCGGTTCAGAAATAGGACATTCTAGGCTGTCTTTCCTGCAGTCCTCAACCTTTGGCATTAATTTTAAAAATTCATTCTTGAATTCATCTACATTTACTTTACATTTATCAAATAAAGTGGTGTAGTACTCGTTGAAAGCATCCTCTATATATCTTTGTTCACTTGTAACGTTACCCATGTATTCAATCTGATGTATAACATTCCGCTGAGCGTTTCGTTTTTCGAGACCAAGCATTCTTTTGGTCGGTTTCTCTCCTACGGTCCTTTTCTCTGCCCTTGCCCTTATTTGTGCGCCACGATACTTCTCCTCATCAATTTGTTCCAATTTGGACTTTACTGACCTTATATCATTTGTGAATAAGCCTGGCGTTTTGCTGTCCTCGGCTAGCAGTTCTTTGAGATTTAAACGTAGGGTTCTTTCTTCTTCACTCTTTCCGTGTTTTATTACACATGAGCGTTCTATAGCTATCAACTTTATATTCTGTTTAAATTGTTCCCACTTCACTCCGTATTTTTGATCTCCACTATCTATGTTTACCAACGCCTCTCGAACACTGTCCATAAATTTTTCATCTTCCAAGAGATTAGAATTCAGCTTCCACATGTCCCAGTTAAATACTGGTCTACGTCTATTCCTTTTACCTATTACAAATGATACTAAGCAATGATCACTAAATGAAATAGGGAGGACATTGTACTCACTGATGATCGGAATTAAATCCAGTGATACGTAGGCCCTATCTAGGCGCGCATGACTGGAGCCTTGGAAATGCGTATACAGTGTTGGTCCTTTACCAATACACTCTGCAACATCCTCAAGGTCTAAGTCAGAAATTAGATTCGTTAACGCGACTGTGCTTGAGTCGTTGAAATTGGATGTACTTGTTTTATCATCGGCACTGATCACACAATTAAAATCTCCCATAAGGATGACTATGCGATCGCATTCACAATAAGTACGAATTGCGTCGAATGTTACACACCGTTCATCAACTTTAAGAGGTGCATATAAACAAATCACTCGCCAATTAAGAGAAAAGAAGGTCAAATCACATACAACAAACCTTCCGGATGAGTCAGACGTGACGTTTTGAACACTGGCACCTAAACTATTCCGCACAAAGATCACACACCCTGCCGACCTACCAACTGCATGACTGACGCTGGCGGTGTAGCGTCCGGTGAAACGTTGCAGTAGGCTCTCGGTGGCGTCCACGCTCTCCACTTTGGTTTCCTGAACTGCAATAATGTCCAGGTCTTGGTCCATGGCTAGTCTGTAGAGCTGAGTCTATTTCTTCCTGGAAGCCAGTCCTCGTATATTGAGCGTCGCTGCTTTCACGAACCCGCTCAGCGACGTGATCGGTGAGCGGGTCCAAGCTGAGAGCCCTGCACGTTCACTTATTGGGCTCTCGTCGTCCAGGGCGGATCCATGTTGTTCACCTTTAGTTTGAGCGGCCATCGTCGCGTTTGAGCGACGACGACCGTTGGCGGGCAGCGTTTCGTTTCTTGCCTCCACTGACCACCTTCCACTGCATTTCCGACTTTACTTGCGTTTCGTCTACTTGAGCACCGTCGTCTGAATCGCGACGGCGTTTTGCAGACGCCGATTCTAATTCCATGTTTAAGGTATCCAGATCACTAGGCAAATCCTCATTTTCGTGTGGTTTGTTCGCCAAAGAGTGCTGTGAAGCCGAGTTTAGAGGAGTCGAAGCAGCGTTGGCCTGGGACGCCGGCGTTTCAGGGCGCGTTGCTTGCAGCTGCGACGCGGCGTGCATCGCAGGCGCAGGACGCGTCTCTTCGCTAGTCGTTGGGGCCGCTTGACTTCCCATCTTCCGTTCGGCGTTCGTGTCCGGGGCTGAAGAAACTTGCTTGCTTTTCCCCAGCACCGGCGTGTCGTCCGATGTCGTCTGCTTCTGTGGTATCGCAGGCAAAGACGCTTGTTCAGATTCCTCCTCATCCATGAGAAGTTCACTCTGTTGAGTCTCTGGTCGTCGCCCTGCAGCTCGTGCGTATGAACGGTTACACTCATCCTGCTCATGACCGAAAGAGTGGCATTCGCTGCACCTTGGGACCTTACAATCGCGTCGCATATGCCCCGTGCTTCGGCACCGCAAGCACAAAGGCGGTCTTCCCGGCACCACGACCAGTGCCGTACTGCTGCCAATACGCACCTGATGGGGCAGTTGATCCACAGAAACGCCATCTCGTAGTTGCATGCGTACTACACGAGTGGTCGATTCAACTCCTTCAAAATCCTCAACTCTCCATCGGTCATCGGTCACCTCCTTGACGTCGCCGTATTCATAGAAGGCACGCCGAATAGCGTCTTTCGTAACATCGAACGCTAGCCAGTGCAATTTCATTTTAACTTCTTGCCGCGTCGGGTCAATGACGAGACATACCCGGTGTTTAACTTTGATAACGCCTGCGTCTGTCAGCGCTTTCTTTGCTTCCACGGTCTTCATGTTCAATAGCCACACGTGCGACATCTGATATGCTCCAATGCCACTTACTTGCTGTATGACGCCTAAATCTTTGAGAGGTTTCCTGAAGTCGTCGATGCGGTACGGTCGGCCGCTGACGTCGCAGTGTAGAGCTACTGCTCGACGCATCGCTTCACCTGATGGCAACGAAGGCAGAATAATCCTGTAGTCCTTTGGAACGAGGGGAGACGCTGTACCGCGGCCGGCGTCGGCCGCTGTCGCTGCTCGGGATGAGCTTTCCATCCTGCGTCCGCACGCGTCGGTGACCAGAAGCAGAATGACTGCGCCACGGAGACAGTCGTGCTCCACTCTCACCACCATCATAACATATCTTCAGAGCTATCAGCGCAAAGAAAAAGCAAACACCACTTCTGGGAGGGCTCAAACCTTCAACCTTTTGGTTAACAGCCGATCGTGCTAGCCAATTGCGCCACGGAGACAGTCGTGCTCCACTCTCAGCACCACCAAAACATATCTTCATAGCTATCAGTGCAAAGTAAAAAGCAACACACCACTCCCGGGATGGCTCGAACCTCCAACCTTTCGGTTAACGGCCGATCGCGCTAGCCAATTGCGCCACGGAGACAGTCGTGCTCCACTCTCACCACCATAAGAACATATCTTCAAAGCTAACAGCGCAAAGAAAAAAGCAACACACCACCCCCGGGAGGGCTCGAACCTCCAACCTTTCGGTTAACAGCCGATCGCGCTAGCCAATTGCGCCACGGAGACAGTCGTGCTCCACTCTCACCACCGTCAGAACATTTCTTCAGAGCTATCAGCTGAAAGAAAAAGAAGCGCCGCACCACCACCGGGTGGGCTCGAACCTCCAACCTTTCGGTCAACAGCAGGTCGCGCTAGCCAATTGCGCCGCGGAGACAGTCCTCCTCCACTCTCACCACCATCAGAACATATCTTCAAAGCTATCAGCCCAAAGAAAAAAAAGCAACACACCACTCCCGGGAGGGCTCGAACCTCCAACCTTTCAGTTAACAGCCGATCGCGCTAGCAAATCGCGCCACGGAGACATCGTGCTCCACTCTCACCACCATCAGAACATATCTTCAAAGCTATCAGCGCAAAGAAAAAAAGCAACACACCAACTCCCGGGAGAGCTCGAACCTCCAACCTTTCGGTTAACAGCCGATCGCGCTAGCCAATTGCGCCACGGAGACAGTCCTGCTCCACTCTCACCACCATCAGAACATATCTTCAAAGCTATCAGCGCAAAGAAAAAAAGCGCCGCACCACCACCGGGTGGGCTCGAAACTCCAACCTTTCGGTTAACAGCCGATCGCGCTAGCCAATTGCGCCACGGGAGACAGTCCTTGCTCCACTCTCACCACCATCAGAACATATCTTCAAAGCTATCAGCCCAAAGAAAAAAAAGCGCCGCACCACCACCGGGTGGGCTCGAACCTCCAACCTTTCGGTTAACAGCCGATCGCGCTAGCCAATTGCGCCACGGAGACAGTCCTGCTCCACTCTCACCACCATCAGAACATATCTTCAAAGCTATCAGCGCAAAGAAAAAAAGCAGCCGCACCACCACCGGGTGGGCTCGAACCTCCAACCTTTCGGTTAACAGCCGATCGCGCTAGCCAATTGCGCCACGGAGACAGTCCTTGCTCCACTCTCACCACCATCAGAACATATCTTCAAAGCTATCAGCGCAAAGAAAAAAAGCGCCGCACCACCACCGGGTGGGCTCGAACCTCCAACCTTTCGGTTAACAGCCGATCGCGCTAGCCAATTGCGCCACGGAGACAGTCTTGCTCCACTCTCAACACCATCAGAACATATCTTCAAAGCTATCAAGCGCAAAGAAAAAAAAGCGCCGCACCACCACCGGGTGGGCTCGAACCTCCAACCTTTCGGTTAACAGCCGATCGCGCTAGCCAATTGCGCCACGGAGACAGTCCTGCTCCACTCTCACCACCATCAGAACATATCTTCAAAGCTATCAGCCAAAGAAAAAAAGCGCCGCACCACCACCGGGTGGGCTCGAACCTCCAACCTTTCGGTTAACAGCCGATCGCGCTAGCCAATTGCGCCACGGAGACAGTCCTGCTCCACTCTCACCACCATCAGAACATATCTTCAAAGCTATCAGTGCAAAGAAAAAAAAGCGCCGCACCACCATCCGGGTGGGCTCGAACCTCCAACCTTTCGGTTAACAGCCGATCGCGCTAAGCCAATTGCGCCACGGAGACAGTCCTGCTCCACTCTCACCACCATCAGAACATATCTTCAAAGCTATCAGCCCAAAGAAAAAAAAGCGCCGCACCACCACCGGGTGGGCTCGAACCTCCAACCTTTCGGTTAACAGCCGATCGCGCTAGCCAATTGCGCCACGGAGACAGTCCTGCTCCACTCTCACCACCATCAGAACATATCTTCAAAGCTATCAGCCCAAAGAAAAAAAGCGACCGCACCACCACCGGGTGGGCTCGAACCTCCAACCTTTCGGTTAACAGCCGATCGCGCTAGCCAATTGCGCCACGGAGACAGTCCTTGCTCCACTCTCACCACCATCAGAACATATCTTCAAAGCTATCAGCGCAAAGAAAAAAAGCGCCGCACCACCACCGGGTGGGCTCGAACCTCCAACCTTTCGGTTAACAGCCGATCGCGCTAGCCAATTGCGCCACGGAGACAGTCCTTGCTCCACTCTCACCACCATCAGAACATATCTTCAAAGCTATCAGCGCAAAGAAAAAAAAGCGCCGCACCACCACCGGGTGGGCTCGAACCTCCAACCTTTCGGTTAACAGCCGATCGCGCTAGCCAATTGCGCCACGGAGACAGTCCTTGCTCCACTCTCACCACCATCAGAACATATCTTCAAAGCTATCAGCACAAAGAAAAAAAAGCGCCGCACCACCACCGGGTGGGCTCGAACCTCCAACCTTTCGGTTAACAGCCGATCGCGCTAGCCAATTGCGCCACGGAGACAGTCCTGCTCCACTCTCACCACCATCAGAACATATCTTCAAAGCTATCAGCGCAAAGAAAAAAAAGCGCCGCACCACCACCGGGTGGGCTCGAACCTCCAACCTTTCGGTTAACAGCCGATCGCGCTAGCCAATTGCGCCACGGGAGACAGTCCTGCTCCACTCTCACCACCATCAGAACATATCTTCAAAGCTATCAGCCAAAGAAAAAAAGCACAGCACCACTCCCGGGAGGGCTCGAACCTCCAACCTTTCGGTTAACAGCCGATCGCGCTAGCCAATTGCGCCACGGAGACAGTCCTGCTCCACTCTCACCACCATCAGAACATATCTTCAAAGCTAGCAGCCAAAGAAAAAAAGCGCCGCACCACCACCGGGTGGGCTCGAACCTCCAACCTTTCGGTTAACAAGCCGATCGCGCTAGCCAATTGCGCCACGGAGACAGTCGTGCTCCACTCTCACCACCATCAGAACATATCTTCAAAGCTATCAGCGCAAAGAAAAAAGCAGCGACACCACCACCGGGTGGGCTCGAACCTCCAACCTTTCGGTTAACAGCCGATCGCGCTAGCCAATTGCGCCACGGAGACAGTCTTGCTCCACTCTCACCACCAGTCAGAACATATCTTCAAAGCTATCAGCGCAAAGAAAAAAAGCGCCGCACCACCACCGGGTGGGCTCGAACCTCCAACCTTTCGGTTAACAGCCGATCGCGCTAGCCAATTGCGCCACGGAGACAGTCCTGCTCCACTCTCACCACCATCAGAACATATCTTCAAAGCTATCAGCCCAAAGAAAAAAAGCGCCGCACCACCACCGGGTGGGCTCGAACCTCCAACCTTTCGGTTAACAGCCGATCGCGCTAGCCAATTGCGCCACGGAGACAGTCTTGCTCCACTCTCACCACCATCAGAACATATCTTCAAAGCTATCAGCGCAAAGAAAAAAAAGCGCCGCACCACCACCGGGTGGGCTCGAACCTCCAACCTTTCGGTTAACAGCCGATCGCGCTAGCCAATTGCGCCACGGAGACAGTCTTGCTCCACTCTCACCACCATCAGAACATATCTTCAAAGCTATCAGCCAAAGAAAAAAAAGCGCCGCACCACCACCGGGTGGGCTCGAACCTCCAACCTTTCGGTTAACAGCCGATCGCGCTAGCCAATTGCGCCACGGAGACAGTCTTGCTCCACTCTCACCACCATCAGAACATATCTTCAAAGCTATCAGCCCAAAGAAAAAAAAGCGCCGCACCACCACCGGGTGGGCTCGAACCTCCAACCTTTCGGTTAACAGCCGATCGCGCTAGCCAATTGCGCCACGGAGACAGTCCTGCTCCACTCTCACCACCATCAGAACATATCTTCAAAGCTATCAGCCCAAAGAAAAAAAGCACCGCACCACCACCGGGTGGGCTCGAACCTCCAACCTTTCGGTTAACAGCCGATCGCGCTAGCCAATTGCGCCACGGAGACAGTCCTGCTCCACTCTCACCACCATCAGAACATATCTTCAAAGCTATCAGCACAAAGAAAAAAAGCGCCGCACCACCACCGGGTGGGCTCGAACCTCCAACCTTTCGGTTAACAGCCGATCGCGCTAGCCAATTGCGCCACGGAGACAGTCCTGCTCCACTCTCACCACCATCAGAACATATCTTCAAAGCTATCAGCGCAAAGAAAAAAGCGCCGCACCACCACCGGGTGGGCTCGAACCTCCAACCTTTCGGTTAACAGCCGATCGCGCTAGCCAATTGCGCCACGGAGACAGTCCTGCTCCACTCTCACCACCATCAGAACATATCTTCAAAGCTATCAGCGCAAAGAAAAAAAGCAGCCGCACCACCACCGGGTAGGGCTCGAACCTCCAACCTTTCGGTTAACAGCCGATCGCGCTAGCCAATTGCGCCACGGGAGACAGTCCTGCTCCACTCTCACCACCATCAGAACATATCTTCAAAGCTATCAGCGCAAAGAAAAAAAAGCGCCGCACCACCACCGGGTGGGCTCGAACCTCCAACCTTTCGGTTAACAGCCGATCGCGCTAAGCCAATTGCGCCACGGAGACAGTCCTGCTCCACTCTCACCACCATCAGAACATATCTTCAAAGCTATCAGCGCAAAGAAAAAAAAGCGCCGCACCACCACCGGGTGGGCTCGAACCTCCAACCTTTCGGTTAACAGCCGATCGCGCTAGCCAATTGCGCCACGA